CCCCACCCGTTAATTCAGTAAAATATTACCCACTGACTAAAAAAAGCTGATGAGCACGTCTGCATTTTTATGTTCCATTGCCTCCGGCAGAGATTATACAACGCAAATATTTGAAACTCAATCTTTCACTTCACTGTAGCAGTGCAAGGCAGATAAAAAGGTGGCCAAACATTTATGTTAATATGTCGGGCGTGAACACGTGTTTCGGCGTCCACATTAATGCTCTTGGCTGTTTGTGCGTACGTGTGCGTGCGTGCGTGCGTGAGGCAGAGGGACTTGGCCCAACCCTTGACCACTCCTTTTTACTGTGGGGAGAAGCAGCACATTCCAGATGTGACTTCACACCCAGTCTGGCCACTGTAAAAAAAAAGGGGGAAAAAATCTAGCCGTCATATGAATTTGGGTACAAAAAAACAAAACAGAATTAAAGCTATGTTAAAGTCCTCACTCGGCGATTGGCCGCCTCTTTAGGTTGACAGATGTGACAATGCGCCTTGAATTGATTTGAACTGCTCCAGTGTGGTTTTTGCGATCTGGCGAGTGCGGATTTACGTGCAGAAATTCAAACTCGAGTAGGGATAAGTTTAGGCCCAGTCATGCAGGGGGAATATTCCTTACGGTTATTTTAAGGAGTGGCAGGTTTCTTGCAGGCGTCAGCAGGCAAGTCCAAACTCATCTTCCCGCCATGAGCTTCCCTCCTTCACACGCTCAAAAGTTTCCTCAAGCGTCGTCAAGATTCAGTTTGTTGTATTCGGTCCCCACAAATGAACGCCAACACTCATGCTTTGGAGAGAACTCAAAGTAATTAGAAGTTAGAAAAACCAAAGAGAAGGAATGTGAGCCAAGACTTGGCCTTGCTCGCCTCCTGTGTGTTTATGAAAATGGGCGTGTGTGTGTGTGTGTGTGTGTGTGTGTGTGTGTGTGTGTGTGTGTGTGTGTGTCTTGAAGCTGATATAACTGGCTCAACTACAGAAAACTAGCGGCCATATTTGACTTTTCATTCAAATTCATTAAAAAGAGAATGCTGTGTCACATGAAGAAAAAAAAAAAAAAAGCAACCCGACAGCTTTTCACCGGCTTTCTCTGCCCTTGTCTCACACAGCGCCGCCGCCATCATGCTGATTCTCCTCGCCGGCATCTTTGCCCTGCACATCATCTGCATCATCCTACTCCTGGTGGCTACCATCGACAATGTATGTTTTTGAGCTCCTACACACCTTGTTGCGTGAACCCACAGTCACAGGCACGGCTTCCTCATAGCCGTGAGGCTTAAAGGCATGCCAAACCACAACTGACTTCAAAATTACTGTGACGGAAGTCTGCTGTGGTATGTTTTGGTGGCAGCAAAAAGACGCCCTGACGAGTGATTGATTGGCAACTCTTAGGAGTCAAAGTCTGCTTTTTCACTCAGGCCGTGGCCCACTGTCTTACTCTTTCAGGGCGTTTGCGGAGGTGGGTGGGGGGTGGGGGCTGTAGTTGACATAACATGATGAGGTGGGCGCGGCTATAGTTGACATCGGACGAGAGATGGATGAAGCACGTGGCTGTCTTCCTCTGTTATTGCTTTTAAATTGCAGGTGACGCTTGAGGGAGACGGCGTGCCTGCACATACTCGTCAATCACGCACAAATATGTGACATTGTTGTCGTGAGATCCGCCCTTTCCCCAGTTGACCCCTCCAAGCAGCTCCCTGCATGTCAATCTGGGACAAATCTTAGTCGAGCCATGCAGTCATAGGCCTGTGGTCCTTGCATTCCTTCCTCACGTGACGTTCCGCTGAATCCTCTGATGCCGATTTGCCTTTCCAAAAAGTCTGACTCATTCTCTGGCCTTACCCCTGTCCCCCCACCCCATCCCCGCCCTGACTCTTAGACGAGGCGGATCCTTTCCTCATTCGCCAAAATGGATGCACTCATCTGACCTGCCTTCAGGTTATCCACCAAATCACTCCGAAGGTCACTTTCCTGGCTGTTAAATAAGTCACGACGAGCACCTTGCTAACATATGCACGGGACCACGAGGCTCAGTGAATTGTAAACTCCAACAGTTCGGGAGTGGCAGTTATTCAAAGTAGTTCCATGTGTCAAAAGTGCACAAGCAGGTTCAACTCGTGTTTTATTTGAATAAGTACACCTGATCACATTTACATTCATGTTTGGAACTTGTCTACACTGAAAAAGTGGAGAAAAATCCATTTTATTTTTTCAAGTGGCTGCACACGATTTGGATTTAGCGCCATTTTTTTTTCTAGAAATAGATAGTTATCTTAAAAAAATCTAGATCCAGATGATTTTTTTTTTCAGCATACGCGCTGTTAATCATAACGATCACCAAATTTGTTTCTCTGGGTTGTTTTGTTGAAAATCCGTTTTTCGGATATCGTGCTTTCCTGCTTTACGCTTACTTTATGAATATCGCAAGAAATAGCACACAAATACATTTGATGTACCTCTTGAAATCCACGACAGTCGGAAAGCAAAGACGAAGCAACACGTACCGATGACGTGCTCGCCGTACATTGGGCAACATGATATCATTTCAGGGACCTTGGCCGTTAAATTTTCCCTTTTACGAAAAAAAATGCGGTGCCGCCGCACGTGGTGGAGTGGCACATGACTTTGACTCACTGGAAAGACCAAAACCATATACCACAAGCTATAAACGAGCAATGTGGAATAATAATTCATTCCGAGTGTGAAGCGGCCTCCTCCATTTCTCGTTACCTTTGCCTCCATGTCTTCGCTCCACCCGTCTCTTCCCCACCCTTCTTTTTTTTTTTCCTCTCTTTCTTCCTCTCAAGCCTTGACATGCCCTCAATTGCCCCCACCTCTTTCTCGATTGCAACCAGCAACATTCTTTCTTCCTGAAACTTCTTCCTCTGAAACAAAAGCAGGAAAAGAAGGGTGTTGATCGGGAAGAAATGCTACTGGAACCTTATGTTTTTTGCGCTTGTGTTGATGTCTGCAGCAACTTAAAAACACACACACACACACACACACACACACACACACACACACACACACACACACACACACACACACACACACACACACTCATTGTAATAGTTTTAATGGCCTCAGACTTTCTGGATTGATGGTCAAAAAAAAAAACGGAGACACACCCCACTATTTTGTAAGTCTTCCGGTGTGGAAGCTATTTAATATGCCAACGGGGAGAACTTCTGCAGACGTCACGACCGATGCTTTTGCCCGTATCGTGTGTGATTATGATTCGGCCAGTCTGTCGCCATGGTAACCTGCGCACATTCATCAACGTCCACTGTTAGGGAGTTTCCCCCCCCCCACCCCCACACACCAAAACCTCAGTGAGTCATCTGCTGCCCTCCCAGAACAAATTCACCATCAGCTGAGTGACAAAGTCAGGAGACACCGAAGGAGAAAAAGGATGTTGTATAAGAGTCCCCCCGCGGGGGCGTGTGTGGACAGAAAGGGGGAGGGGCTGGGCCAGCGGCGGCGAGTTGTGGGGGTGCGAGCTGGACCACTAAAAACTAAGGGGTGGGTTGGACCCAGTGAAACGGAGTGTGGGTTTTTTTTTTCTTTTGGGGAGTCGGCAGAGGCAAGATGGGTGTGTGGACTTGAAAAAGAAGGTGGGGCAAAAGTAGGCGGACTGGTCGTCTCTCCTGTTCGTACTTTGCCAGGCTGAGTCTGAAATTAGTGTTCGAGACAGACAGCCGTCAAACAGTAAGTTGTGAAGATTCCTATTGCCGAACTCGGTGAACAATTCTTAACTTTGAGAAATTGTTGCTTGTTGTAATGAGTAGTTGAGAGTGCGCTTGTGCGCACCCACTAGTTCTTTATCTGTTTAAAATAACATTTAGGATGTTTTACGCTTCTATTGCCACCAGCGTCTTGTTGGCCAAGTCTCTGCCGCCCCCCCCTGAGATAAGTCTGCATTGGTGGCGGACCACTTCTTGCATCATTCAACCGCCCCCCCCCCCAAAAATTTGCACGTCCACTGGTTTTATTCAGTGAAACGACCTCGGGGATTGTTCTAGCACACCGTACGTACGGCACCGAGCAAACTTTGGTTTACCTCACCTAAGGGTGGGGTTCGACACGCCCAGAACACAATCGGGTTCTGCCGCATTCTCTCCTCTCTATCCTGCTTCTTTCTTGCCTCACTCTTTCCCTCTGCTTCACACTGCGCGGCGAATACGGTTTCTAATCTCAGATTTATCACCATGTCGCGTATTTAATCGCGAGGTTGCGATGCCAGCATGGCCCCCGGGGTGGAGCACTTAGTGTCGATATGGATCTATGCCGTAGTACGGGGGAAGAGAATATCCATTGTAACTTGAGAAGTCCAACAAATGAACGATATAAGCGCTTTGTTTACACAAGTCCAGCTCTGCGTGACGGAAATGACTGATAACGGCACCTCCAGACCGTAGGCACATCTGTAGCCTTTCATCAGGCCAGGGACCGTATTTGGTCACACTTGAAATTCTCAATGGCCGTTTTCCACGCCAAAGTAAAAACATATTGAAAAATATTTCAATACTACATCATCGGTGACAAAATGTAATGACATAGAAACCTTTATCTTTGCCACGGTAGCCAGATCGTACAAAGAACCGCAGCTATGGCTAGCAACGCCATTTCTGCGAGCCGAAACAATATCAGAAGGCCTGACCTGCATTTATAACCTTTGTTTGAATATTTGTTCCATGAAATTGTTTTCATTTATTCCCTACTGCTCGCTTTCTTTTTTTGGTTGCACTGCTTCCAGTGCTGTATGTGTGTGTGTGTATTTTTTTTTTTTGGGTCCAATTAGATTTTAGCCGATAAGTGCCGCCATGTCAATCTAATCTGCCCAGGGCCATTACAATCAGAAGTGCTGTTTGCTGAAACTTAAAACTACGTGAGCATTTAACAAATCAAATTTCAGATTCAAGCTCACAGCCTCGTGGGCCTTTGGTAACATCCGCATTTTGCCATCCTCTGTGGGGTCCGAGCAAAACTTGCTACAGCCAACTTTGAGTCTTTCAAATAACGGTGGTGGCATCAGGTCGAATGTTTGGGCTCGGGCCGCGAAGCCGGAGGGTTCTGGCTCAAGTCCCACTCGGGACAAAATGTTGGAGAGATGCTTGACTGCTTCCAAAGCGCCGTCAAATTGCCCTTGAGCAAGGCACAATCCCCACGCCCCTCCTCCCAGCTCTGAGGTGCGGCACTGTTAGCACATCGTGTAATGCGCGCCTGGATGTGCATGATTTGGTTCTGTGTGTGGTGTGGAATGCAAATACACAGCAAAGCACAAGTTGACTGTCCCTTTAGGCGAATTATAATAAGTACAACATTTGAAAGAAAAAAATCTGCTTATAACTGGAGGGTTCAAACCCTGCCTTTTTATGTACCAGCCTTATAGTGTTTTAGTGCTGTTGTATATTTTTGGGGTCTTTATCGCATGTAATTATTTTTTTTAATTTCCTGCTTTTATTTTATGTTATTTTCTCTTCTGACATCTCTCTAGCCTTGCACTCCTGACGCGTTTTTACATTCCATCAATCCCACTTTTTCCAAAGTCCAATACTTCATCCGCCCTTTCCCCAGTTGACCCCTCCAAGCAGCTCCCTGCATGTCAATCTGGGACAAATCTTAGTCGAGCCATGCAGTCATAGGCCTGTGGTCCTTGCATTCCTTCCTCACGTGACGTTCCGCTGAATCCTCTGATGCCGATTTGCCTTTCCAAAAAGTCTGACTCATTCTCTGGCCTTACCCCTGTCCCCCCACCCCATCCCCGCCCTGACTCTTAGACGAGGCGGATCCTTTCCTCATTCGCCAAAATGGATGCACTCATCTGACCTGCCTTCAGGTTATCCACCAAATCACTCCGAAGGTCACTTTCCTGGCTGTTAAATAAGTCACGACGAGCACCTTGCTAACATATGCACGGGACCACGAGGCTCAGTGAATTGTAAACTCCAACAGTTCGGGAGTGGGCGCCGCATACCACATCGACACTTGCGGAATGCCACGCTGACCGACACCTTCCGCACTCTGATTTTGGATTGGCCATTTTTTTTTCTAGAAATAGATAGTTATCTTAAAAAAATCTAGATCCAGATGATTTTTTTTTTCAGCATACGCGCTGTTAATCATAACGATCACCAAATTTGTTTCTCTGGGTTGTTTTGTTGAAAATCCGTTTTTCGGATATCGTGCTTTCCTGCTTTACGCTTACTTTATGAATATCGCAAGAAATAGCACACAAATACATTTGATGTACCTCTTGAAATCCACGACAGTCGGAAAGCAAAGACGAAGCAACACGTACCGATGACGTGCTCGCCGTACATTGGGCAACATGATATCATTTCAGGGACCTTGGCCGTTAAATTTTCCCTTTTACGAAAAAAAATGCGGTGCCGCCGCACGTGGTGGAGTGGCACATGACTTTGACTCACTGGAAAGACCAAAACCATATACCACAAGCTATAAACGAGCAATGTGGAATAATAATTCATTCCGAGTGTGAAGCGGCCTCCTCCATTTCTCGTTACCTTTGCCTCCATGTCTTCGCTCCACCCGTCTCTTCCCCACCCTTCTTTTTTTTTTTCCTCTCTTTCTTCCTCTCAAGCCTTGACATGCCCTCAATTGCCCCCACCTCTTTCTCGATTGCAACCAGCAACATTCTTTCTTCCTGAAACTTCTTCCTCTGAAACAAAAGCAGGAAAAGAAGGGTGTTGATCGGGAAGAAATGCTACTGGAACCTTATGTTTTTTGCGCTTGTGTTGATGTCTGCAGCAACTTAAAAACACACACACACTTGTGTTACACGCAAACTATAAACACACACACACACACACACACACACACACACACACACACACACACACACACACACACACACTCATTGTAATAGTTTTAATGGCCTCAGACTTTCTGGATTGATGGTCAAAAAAAAAAACGGAGACACACCCCACTATTTTGTAAGTCTTCCGGTGTGGAAGCTATTTAATATGCCAACGGGGAGAACTTCTGCAGACGTCACGACCGATGCTTTTGCCCGTATCGTGTGTGATTATGATTCGGCCAGTCTGTCGCCATGGTAACCTGCGCACATTGACACTTGCGGAATGCCACGCTGACCGACACCTTCCGCACTCTGATTTTGGATTGCAAGCATGTCTGAACACGAGGAGTGAACACTTCCTCACGCAATGAACAATGAAATTCAACATATTTCCCGCTGCGCGCGTGAATTTGTTCATTTGTCTCCAAGTGGCACCTCGACGAACCAGCGTCCCAGCTTACAAGTTATTCAAGTTACGATAGATAGTTTGGTTTGACTTTTTTGTTTTGTTTTGTGTTGCGGCTACAATTAGGGTTAACCCGTTAGCCAAAAATTTCATTTCAAGTGAGTCTTGGATGCACTTCCTCTCAAGTGAAGTGAAAAGAAGGAGAGCGACAGGCGCCAATTCGCTTTCGGAATCAGATTCAGGATCAGAATCATCTTTATGGGCTGAGTATATAAAAACACGAATTTGTCTCCACGAATTCGAGTCGCACGAGTATTACAGCAACAACAGAACGGACGGTTGCGGACATGGAGAAAAAAGTCAAAACGCGCAGCAACACAATGAAAATGCCAGCAAAGAGCTACTTTAGGACAAAACTCGCGCAGACAAACTGGCAAACTTCCTGCCAAGACACAGGTCACATCGCGGTTGTTGTTGCGAATCAATACAGTGAATATTTCTTATTTTTCTTAACCACGTACACACCCACACAATTTTTGCTTTGTGGAGGCTGGAACGAATTAACATCATTTCAATTCATTTCAATGGGGAATTTTGATTTGAGTGAAGGTACTGCAACTTTTGTATTAGATGAACAATTAAATTGTCTCTACAATCACCCTCAGGCTTGGTGGGTGACGGACACCCTATCCACTGACGTCTGGGCCCGGTGGATATATATGAACGGACAGTGGAACTACACTGATCTTCCAACAGGCTCCCATTACCCACAGGGTAAGACGCACACATGTCGCCATCAGTCAGAGGGAGAATCCGGTCGTATGCCCGCGTGGTACTTCCCAATTCCTACGCCCACAGCATGAACTGAGCCCCGGCTCAGCCCATCTGTTCAAATCAGCTCGCTCAGAGCCAGCAGCAGCGTCACATATTTCAACCTCATCGGATTTCTCGACGCCTACCGTTTCATGGCATGACTCTTTCTGACTCCCCCTGCAGACTACCTCCAGGCAGTGCAAGCCACCTCAGTGCTTGCCTGTATATTCTCCATCCTGGGAATCTTTGTGTTTGTCGCTCAGCTCTTCACTCTGAACAAAGGACAGAGGTTCACCATCTCGGGGATTTTCCAAGCCCTCGCCTGTGAGTTTTGAGTCGGTTCTCCGATCGGGGCCTCCTTTGCGTTCTCTCGATAACCAACCGAACCGCCTGTCCATCACCTGCCCCCCCCCTCAGGTCTCTGCATCATGATCGCAGCCTCCATCTACACAGACCGCTTCCATCTCGACGAGAGCTTCGGCTCTTATGGCCACTGCTTCATCCTGGCATGGATCTCCTTTGCGCTCACATTTATCTCCGCCGTCACTTACTTTGTGCTACGCAAGAAGACGGCATGAGAGGGATACTAGAAATAACACCATCCAAGCAAAAATGTTCGTCTGGATCTATTCTGTTTCGCAAAACGCTGATCTTTAGTTACTGAGCAAGAGCAGATTGCAACATTCCACAATGGCAGTAAAATAGAGGCGCAACCAACTTAAGTTGTAATGGAGTGGAATTTATTCTTTCCACACAGAGTTCGGCCTAAATATGCGCCACGTTGCTAAAAGAGAGAGTGAGATCCATCATGATTTTCAGCAACCCAAAAAAGTTTTAAAAAGTAAAATCTGTGATCTTCTTTGTACGTACTTTTAAATATGGATATAAGTGGATTTAAAAAAAAAAAAGAAAAAAAAAGAGGGTGAGTCTATTATTTTTCAAGGTTTTTTTCCCCCCCACCATTATTTTATTGTAAGTTTATCAACTTCAATTTGTGTATTTTCGATGGTCTTGCTATATGTTAAGCGTTACTAAAGATTATTCCGGTGCTGCCCCAGCATGACGGCATCAGTCCGTGTTGTAGATTTAAGGACGACTCAATGACAGGACGACGCAACGCTAATAGATTTTGAACAATGATGTCTGAAGGTTGTGCTTGTTTAGGAATTATTTAATATTAGAAAGCGTGTCGCAGTCATCTTTTTAAAGATACCAACTTTTCAATCATGTAAGACCCTTCTAAATGACGTGTTTGTTTTAGTGCTTTCAAGAAACTAGAAACTGTTCGTATTTTTGTTCCGGTAAAAACCAAATTTAAAGCAATTTTCTTAAAATGTACACCTTCACTGCCTTCCAAATGTCATTGCTGGCTAAGGAATTGACAGACAAAAAAAAACCCAAACTGGCGCCCCACAGTAAATGTAAATACGTTTCCTGTTCTGCTTTGTATATCTAATGCTGTTCTGTTTTGTTGTTTCTCACCATGGATGACAATGACAATTATTTTTACGATAATAAAAAGAGATTTCCAACCAATTATTATCATTTGAGAGTTTTGTTCTCATAGGCAATTATCGGGCGCAACGTTTCCATTTCATTTTTGGGACCAACTTTTCTTGAGTCATCTTTTGGCCAACCGCATCCTGTCATCAACACTGCCGCCACTTCATCGTTGCGCCCAAGTGGATACGAAAGGCGTGTCTGTCCCTGTGCCCCGTGATTTATTGCCGACCAGGGATGACGTAGTTTGGGAGTTTTCATTCACAGTTACTTTTTATTTCATTTGGCCTATTTTCTTTTAAATTCAAGGTCGTTTTATTACATTTTTAGAAAATGCTCACGTTTGAATTGACGGGGACAAAAACGCAGGACATTTTCGCTGCAACGATACTTTTTTCGGTTGGAGGATCATAACATTTTGTTTCTGTCTTTATTATAATAATAATTTTTTTACTTTCTTTTGATAAAGCTGGAGTGAGTGAGTTCTGTCGCCCCCTGTGGTGAAATGGAATAGTGTACGCTATTCTGTTTGGACGGACAGCCAGTGAGGACAAAGATGGATTCTTCTGAAGGAAAAATTATTGGATGTTTATTTTCTGCTACAGGAAAGCAAAATAATCGGATGACTTTGCTTTTTACCAACGAGAGACAACTGGCTTGCTAATTTGTAGCATAGTAATTCCCATCACCATTGCATATCACTGTGACAAGTCACACGCATGACAGAAAACAGGAGAGCGCTTGTGTGTGTTGTGGCTCAACACCAAATATAAAAGATAAAAGACTGAAAAATACAGCAAGATATTGGAGGAGCTTCGAGGCTTGATTAGCATTGTGTCATCATCTCTAGCGGTGGCTTGGGTGAAAAAGACTCGTTTTAAACATACAACCAAAAAAAAAGACAGCTGGAATGAAAATGTTTTTGTCAATTTTAGCTTCAGTTATGACTTTAGTTTTAACTCGAATAACCTTGCTGCCAACTAGTCCAGGGTGTGTTCTGTCTATTGTCCCAAGTAAGTTGCGATAGACTCCAGCTCACTGCGACCCTGAACAGGGCAAGCGGTATTAAAAAAAAAAAAAAGGACATTTTTTTGAAATGAATGGATGGATAGTCTAACAAGCTACAGTACACCAGCAAATAAATCAAGTGAATCGCACCAAAGTTTGTTGGGAACCATAACCAGACCACTGGTCGATTTTGATCCGCACACGAGTTCGAAAACTGTGTTAGCACCTGACCGAATGAACTGCACCATAAGGGTTCAAAGAGGGCTGCAGTAATCCTGCGTCGTGTAAAGGGGGACCATGTTCTCCTGATGACCTTTCAGGGGTCCACGGACAAGAGCGGGTGAGCTGGGCGAGTGAGATGGAGATGGGAGGGACAAGCGGTGCAAAGGGGATGCAGACGCGAGGTGGGAGGACGGAGGAGGGAAGGACGCCGAGTAGGGTAGAGGAATGGAGTAGGAAGGCTTACCGGGTGGTGGTGGTGGTGGTGACTTGGATGGCGGCTGCTCGTAGTAAGGGGACAAATGGGAGATTGGCGCGTGGGATTGGTGAAAAGCGCGGACCATGCCGGAGTTGGGTGCAGAGAAATAAGGTGCCGGGGGCAGGAGCCCCACAAAGTTGAAGGGGTTGAGGCTGGAGTTCAGCCGGGCTCCCACCATGAGGACGTTCTTTGTGTAGTTGTTCAGGGTGGAGACTCCAGCTGACATGCAGACAGTGAAGGCGAACCAGGCCACGCTGAAGGAGACGCAAAACAGGGAATATGTTCACGACTGAAAACATCCAGCACTGTCATTTGACTTCAAAGGCATCAAGCCTCTTTATGAAGAATTTGCTGCAATGCGCGCAGTACGTTCAAAGTACTCACTAGAACGCCCAAGAGTAGCCATAACTGTGAGGCTTGAAGTCCTCTGGGCCCATGGACACTGTAGTCTGAAACACTTGCATGAACATCATGTGACCCACCATTCCAAGCAGACCTGGGGAGGCCAAGGAGGGGCAAAAAAATAAAAATAAAAAGATATACTGTACTCCAGAATACCACAGGCATCGGTGACATGAAATGGTCCATAAAGCAATTCTGCACCTCCCAAGACTGTGAAAACAGCAGCAAAGGCGTTGAGCAGCTGGCCGCAGCGCTGCGTAGAGGGGAACCAGGCCCTGATGCACAACTGCACAGAGAGCAGGATGCAGCTGATGAGCAGCAGACCCACGTACAGGAGCTCCAAGGACAGCGAAAGCCACATCATGGCTGAGAGAAAAGAGAAGGACAAAGCATCCGAAAGAATTTACGAGCAATTTAAAATGTGCCCAGAAGGAGGGGTGCAAGTCACCTCTTTCAGAACTCGGTGTCAAAGTGTAGAACCCCCGACACTTCTCCTCTGGAATAGAAATGAGACAGGACAGTGGACACCTATGAAGTCATACAATTTGGAAGTTGACCATTTATCCTCGCAAAAAATGCTTGTGAAGGCGACACGGTGATTGAATGGTTCGCACGTCGGCCTCACAGCGCAGATGTGCTGGGTTCGATTCTGGTATAATTAATCACTAATAGATAATCAGATGATATTCAGTCCGTGTTTGTGCATTCTATTGACCTTTTGCTCTTCGGATTCCTGATCCATGATTGAGCCATACTGCTGAAGACTAAATCTCCACAAGTAGAAAACACACTTGAGTTAATCCCCTTTAGGATGAGCGCGCACACACACACGCACACGCACAC